CCCCTGAGCCATCTCCCCGGCCCTAAGTTTTCTTTTTTTAGAGATATTCTGTTCGTAGACTAAGTCTGAAGCATAGGGATCAATTTAGACACTCTTGGGCTAGGTTCAAAACAAAGACAGTAAACACAGAGAGAAGACCTAATACTCAGGATCAGAGGACTGAAGAATCCTCAGAAGGCTTACTTCCAAGTTCCTGGCTTATGTGACTGGCATTGACTAAGATAAAGAATACCAAAAGGGTCAGAACTTTGGTAAAGAAATTACAAATTTGGTTTAGTCAGGCTGAACTTGCCAGTGTGTCAGCCAAGAGCATCTTACCTGAGGAAGCAGGAATAAACAGAGGAGCATTTCTAAAAGAGAGGCTCTACGTCACAGCTAACCTGTGTGGTGCCTTTGTAGAAATCTTTAAATGGTGCCTCTTCTGAGCAGACCAATTAGGGAAAGTCATCTTTCCTTCGTGTAGACTCAGCCACATGGCTTAGCAAGAAACCCAGGGTATACTTCAGCCGCCCCCACCCCACGGCCAGATACCAGTGTGCATTGCGCAGCCACACACAGGAGGTTGGGACTTCCATGAGCTGAGAGATGCACCTGAAGCTTAGCCTGTTGTTCCCCAATGGAGAAAAAGATACAGGAGGCTGGAGGAAGCCGAGGGGCTTAGCTAGAGAAAGATTCCAGTTATTACCCAAAGGGCTAGTCTGTCCTCTGTCCAGTGGATTATAGTTCATCTCGCCTATCTGTGAAGGAGGGCACTATGAGCCCTTCCAATCACCTTAAGGCATTAGGAGACCTAAAGGAAATGATGTATATGAAGTCACTGAGGCATCTCTGTCCCCATGTTCTGGCACATAAGGTGTCAGATGTTGCACATACATGGCCCCCTCAACTGGCATAAGTCATGGTTACAGTAAGATAAAGTGGTGTGTGATCGTAAAATGTGAAGACTGCAGACTTGTATTATGTTCAATAAGAGTGCTGGGCTAGCACACGTACAGAATAGGGAGTGGCGGGGCCAATCGAAGGGTTGCTAGTATAAGAGATGGCAGGTAGACAGTACTGCCCAGAGGGACCCACTGTGGCATGGGGTTCTTAGAGCTTAGCCATGCTGGAGGGTAAGGGGTTAAAGGGAGGTGAACTCAGAACTGAAGTCCCCAGGAATGAGACAGACATGCCTGAGATGAGAGGACTAGCATCACAGCCTGAAGAATACGGCCAAAAGCAGAGTGTCATCCAGGAAGAAAGGAATGGGCAATATGAAGGGCTTGCATTGGAATAATTAAGAGATATTAGGCGGGATGATCCAGTGGCAAGAAACAGCAAAACAGACCAGGCTAAGCCTGGCATTCAAGTCTCTCTCCCCGCTTTCTCCTGCTGTGTAAGTATGAATGAATGTGAGTGTGGACCTGTGAGCTTTCTTGAGGTACACACCATAATAGACAGTAGATCTACTATGATGTGTTCAACAATGTGTTCTAGGAAGTATTCTGGGTCTCGGGCCGGGAAGAAGGCTCAGTGGAATAAGCACTTCCCTGGCAAGCGCAAGGGCCGAGTTCAATTCCTGGTTCTGCCAAAGTGTTCTGGGTCTCACTTAGGACAAATGACAGTTTGAAGAGATGTGCTCTAGATTAAAGCCTTGACATAAACTATGCATGGCATAAATCTCAGAGAAAGCATGATGGCTTGGCTGATGGCTTAATGAAACTTTGGTCCAATGGAGTCAGGCATTGAAGTTGGGACTTTAGTGTTTGCTAGAGTAACAAGAATTTTAGCAGTTGAAAGACAAATGCTTCTCCCGCCTTCCATGCTTACCCCCTCATTTCTCTTTTTCTTCTTTCTCTGAGTTAAAGTAGCACTGTGATAAAGTTCTCTGGCTCAGGGCCAGCAAGACAGCTCAGTGGGCCAAGTGCCTGCTTAGGCAAGTGCAGGGACTAGGGTTTGATCCCAGGCACTATGTGGTGGCACTGGCCCCCTGCCCCCAGGCACACTGGGGCAGCCACTGAGACCAGGTGTGGTGGCACACACCTGTAATCCCAGTGCTGGGAAGGCTGAAGACAGCAGGATCACTACAGATCAAATACATGAGAAAAAAAAATCTGGCTCAGGTCTTATTCCTCCTCTTTTCCCTTGTTACGTATCAGAGCAAAATATATCTCTATGGCAAAGGCCTTTTAGCTTGAGTTGCTGTTATCCAAAGTACTTCTGCTGACACTGAGGGGAGGGAGGGCTGGGCAGAATGCGGTAGCCCAATCTGAGATTAAGCCTCCCCTCAGGAGTCCGAGGCCCCTGGACCTGATGCCATTATAACTGTGTGGGGAGTGTGGGACTGTGAACAAGAGATGGTTTGGAATTTGGCCAGGGGAAAGCTATATATCAGATGCAGGCCAGGTGTCACCTGTCTGTCTCCTCTCTACAGCATCAGGTGAGAAGAAGGAAGGCTGGTCATGGGAGTCCTACCTGGCAGAACAAAAGGCCGTCACTGCCCCTGTCAGCCTCTTCCAGGACGTGAGTTGGGCCATTCCCACCAAGGAAGAACTTGTCTTCCCAGTCCAAGCACTCACCTCCAAACTCAGGCCTTCTGGGGTTTTCTTTCTAACATTCCCTGATGGGCTAGAATGAAAGGGAGAGATCTGACTAGAGGACCCGAGCAGAGAAAGCCCACCATAAGGGGTTTCCAGGTTGGGAATAAATAGGGAAATGGGACCTACTCACCACTGGGCCTTCGGATATTTGAATTCTGGTACCTTCTACTCAACTTGGTCCTGACCTTTCCAGGACTTGAGGAAAGTCCCTTATGTCCTTCCCTGGCATACCTACCTCAGATTGGTCCCACAACTCTTCTGTCCCTTTCTGGATCCTGCAGTTCGGGGATCTGTTGAGATCCCCAAGTGCATTGCTCCTTTGGTAACCCAGGCGGGTGGGGCCTAAAGGCAGCTCCTTCACCCCAAGCCCACCAGGCAAGGATAAGGCTGGATGGAAGCTGGGTCCTCTCCACTCTGTGCGTTGACAGTCCCAGGCAGTCACTCATCACAAGAATGGCTTCAAACCAGGCATGAAGCTGGAAGGCATTGACCCTCAACACCCGTCCATGTACTTCATCCTCACTGTGGCTGAGGTAAGCTGGGGCTTGATTATGCCCTTCTGATGTCTCTCAGTGCAGGGTGACAGAGCCCTTGGGGGCATGGAGGGACACTGTGCCCTGACTCAGAAAGCAGTTCTGAAAGGGATTGAATTGGAGCACAGAGAGAGAGAGAGGACTGGGGATGTTGTCTGCAATCACTGGGACTTCCAAGTTGTGCAGGGCATTGCACATGCCAGTGCTATCCGCTGGGTGGCAAGAGTGAGCAGGGCTGCACAAGGGAGGACAGCACCTTTCCAGCATAGAGAGGCCTCTCTGAGGGAGGAATGTGAATGAGTAGAGAGTTCCAGGAGGAAGCAAGGTAAGTAAAGGGTCTGGGGCTTGGACCAAGTTCTCATGTTCAAAGGCTTGCTATTATTTGAGCAAGACTGCAGAAGGAGGTGTAAATGGGGAGTGGTGACATGTGGCAACAGAAGGAAAGGTCATCAGGGACCCTGATCTATCCTGAGCCTTGTGGGCACCCTCCAAGTTTGGCCCAGGACTGGAGAGGACAAGCGATTGTCATAGAGTCCACACCCAGGACTCAGGGCTCATTGATGTGTGGACTGTCTTTATGGTAGGATGGGAGAGTGTGGGACAGAATTCAGGACAGGAGAAACAGACAGAGACAGAGACAGAGACAGAGACAGAGACAGAGACAGAGACAGAGACAGAGACAGAGAGAGAGAGAGAGAGAGAGAGAGAGAGAGAGAGAGAGAGAAATATGTTAGGGGACCTGCCAGAATTAGAGCCCCTGGGACCACAAGCTGTCGGGCATCCATTGGCATTGAGGTCCCTGTGATTCCCTCACTGGGCTAGGTGTGTGGCTACCGCCTGCGTCTGCACTTCGATGGGTATTCCGAGTGCCATGACTTCTGGGTCAATGCCAACTCCCCTGACATTCACCCTGCTGGCTGGTTTGAGAAGACTGGTCACAAGCTGCAGCCTCCCAAAGGTAAGGCCTATCCATGTTGGTCCTCACAAGGCAGTAAGTCCTCTGGCCCATCCCTTCGTCCCCCCTTTCAAGCTCCCCCATTTTCTGTCACAGTACCCTGTACCAAAGCCTGCCTCTTCATCATGTCCTGATGTGACTCTTCCTGGGGCCAAGCTAGCCAGATCCCCTAGGGCCATTTCCTTGCCCTTTGAGTGTCCATCCACCCAGTGGTCTCTTCCTTCACCATGGGATTCTGCACAGGCTCCTGAGGATCGTGAGGTCCTCAGGCCTGGTGATTCTGCAGCTTCCATGTGGGTTGCCTTCACCATGGACCAGCCTCTGCACAGCGCTCTGTTTGTTTCCCCCCCGAGGGGCCTAGGTTACAAGGAGGAGGAATTCAGTTGGAGCCAGTACCTGCGCAACACAAGAGCTCAGGCGGCCCCCAAGCACCTGTTCGTGAGCCCAAGCCATGTGAGTGCCCCTGAGCAAGGGTGGACACCACCCCACAGGCCAGAGTCACTGCAGCTAGCTCAGAATTTGTCCACTGGTACTCTCAGCTTTGTTCTGAGTTCTTGGGCCAGGGACCAAATGGGAGAAAGCTGCCTATAGGTTTTCACCTGGTTCCTTCCTTCCATCCTGTCTTAGTCCATGTTCTGTGCTTGTAACAAAATCCCCAAGGCTGGGTGCTATATACTGATAAGAAGCTTATTTAGCTCCCTGTTTCAGAGGCTGAGAGTCCAAGATGAGGTGGCTTCACCTGCTCAGCCTCTTGAGAACAGCCTTATGGTAGAGGCTACTACCAGAGGGAGAGTACGTATGGAAGACGCCACGGGGCAAGTCTGTAGCCGGAAGTACTCAGGGGTCAGGACTGCTTTGTAGTTTTTCATTTGTTCTTTATAGCAGTTCACAAGAACTAACCAGCTCCCTACAAAAACTACATTGATCTCCTCTGAGGGTTACATCCGCAGTGTCAGACCTGTCTCCCTAAGACCCACCTCTTTAATCAAGCCCCACCCCAGCCCCAAACACGGCAGCCTGGGGCCAAACCTCCAGCACAGGAACGCCTGGGGGACCAAAGGAGAGCCTGCCTTGCCTGAGTTCTCTGCTCTGAGCCCTGCCTGTCCGGGCACTGGTGTTTCATTGCTTGTAATCCTTCCCTTGCTCTGCAGTTCTGTGTGAGGTCAGAGGCTCTGTTCTAGGACCCTTATTTCCCTTCTTTTCTGCTAACATTGAGGCTGTCCCACTCATTCCAACAATTCGCCCTTGTTTTTCCAACAAAGGGTCTGAGAGATTTAAGGAATCCCTATTAAAAACATTGCCATATTTGCAGGGGAGATGTAATTCAGTTGGCAGAGCACTTGCCTAGCATGAGCAAGGCGCACAGCTTCATCCCCAACACACGAATAAACGAAACAGAAACAAACCAAAAAGAAAACCATAGTGAAGGTGCAGGGTCACCATCCTGAATGGGCTGGCACTCAGCGCTGCTTATGCAGGATCAGTGAGCCCTTCGCCCCAGGTGAGCACCAGAGACCACGCTAGGAGCTTTGGACCGGCAGTGTCCCACACGTGACTATGACAGGAAATGTGGGCTTTTAAGTCAAACTTTAAATCTTATCCCTGCCGCTGACTAGCATTGTGTTCAGGTTCAAGCTGTTTAACATCTAAAATGGAAATAATGGCTGGATGTGGGGGTGCACTCCTGTAATCTCAGAATTCAGGAGGGTGATCCAGGAGGCTGGCTGCAAGTTCAAGGCCAAGACCAGCCTAAATGACCTTGTCTCAAAAAAAAAAAAAAAAAAAAGCAGGACTGATCGTGCCTGTCTCATCCTGGAGTTGTGAAGGTGAAGGGAAATGATGTCTTGTGCCTGGGGCATGACAGATACCCAGTTAACACGGGGCCCCTACCCACTTCCTTCAGGGAAGAGACATATCCGTGCTTCTTGCCCAACTACCCTACATTCCCCAGCTGCCTTGAGCCAAGCCACATCAGGCCTCTGTAGGTAGTGGAGACTTGTATGTAGCCTGCCAGACTCTTCAGGTAAAGCATTGCCACTTAGCAGCCGCTTCTGCCACCAGAGTCCAGTCTCATCTGAGTGTGCCTGGAGGCTGGAAGTTCCTGAGTGGCTCAGAGCTCAGGTTGCGTTGTGCCTGAGGACCCTCATTCCCAGCCTATTGCTCCTCTCTTTTCCCCAAGAAGTTCCCCAGAACACTTACTTCTGTAGTTTCCACCGCTGGCTAGCCTGGCCCTAGCCACGGTAGCCCCTCTTTTTACCTCTAGAGTTCCCCTCCCCTGGGCTTCCAGGTGGGCATGAAACTGGAAGCTGTTGACCGCATGAACCCATCCCTCGTCTGCGTGGCCAGTGTGACCGACGTGGTGGACAGCCGCTTCCTGGTGCACTTTGACAACTGGGATGATACTTACGACTACTGGTAGTGGGAGGACCCAGACCTGGCCTGTGGAGGGAGGGGATGTCAGGAGCAGTGGGCAAGCACTTTACGATCTGAGGCATTGTGGGGCTCTGCTCAGTCTACTCCTGGCCCTCAGATCTGCCCAGGGTGGAAGATAACTGGCAGTCCTGTGGTTATGAGTTGTAGCATGAGAAATAGAGCTCAATGTTGCATGTTTCATCTAAAAATACCCTGGTTAAGATTAGCAAACCCTGTGACTCATGATTCTCCCTTAGATATTATCATGTTCTAGAGTATTTCTTAATCTGACAGTTTCCTGACTCTAGCACTAGCCACTTCTTTTCCTCTCACTAAGGAGCAGGAGAGAGAGGGTGGGCCTTGAATCCAGGCTGGGATGGATCAGCAGGCTCAGCCCTCGTGTTCCTCCTGAGCCAGCGATATGTTCTTCTGTTTCAGGTGTGATCCCAGCAGTCCCTACATCCACCCAGTAGGCTGGTGTCAGAAGCAAGGAAAGCCACTCACCCCACCACAAGGTGACTGTGTGGCCTGACCATGCTTCTTCCCAGGGCCTCATTCATGGGCTCTTTAGGGTTGGAAGGAGGGGACAGATATGGCCTGGAGCTCAGCTTCTTGGCCAAGGAGTTGAGAACCCTGTGATTTTAGGAGTGTCCTATCAAACGCTGACTCCATTGAGGGATAGGGGAGGAAGTTTAGATGCCCACCTCAGCCAGGGAGCAGGGAGCCCAAAGCCAAGCCAGGACATCCTTCCTCCTGGGAATTCTACAGTCAAGATTCACAGTGCTGGAGGAGAAGCAACAGGACCAGGGTGAAGGGCTCCCAGCTGGCCTTGGGAACTGTTGGAATCAGTAGTGTGTGCTTGGTTTTCACCAGTACCCATCTGCCTCAGGAACCCAGTGCAATGCTGGCTGTGGTGACATGGAAGGAGTCTGCGACTAGAGTCTGCCCCTTCCCTGTGCCTGATCCTACCTAGGGAAAGAGAGCACTTTCCATCACTGGTGGCTCAATACCGCATTCACCTTCTACAGATTACCCAGACCCTGATAGCTTCTGCTGGGAGAAATATCTAGAAGAAACTGGGACTTCTGCTGTGCCCCCCTGGGCCTTCAAAGTGGTAAGCTGACACTCCCTGTCCCCAAAGCTGAACTCTGACATGAAATACTCCGCATCCCTAGCTTCTCCCTTTGGGGAGGCCACAGTTTTCCCAGCTGCAGAACTTGGGTTCTCATTTTGGGGTCTCAGCTCTAATGAGCTGGGTCTCGGCCTGAAAGCAGCTATCCACCTACAGCGACCCCCTCACAACTTCTTGGTCAACATGAAGCTAGAAGCTGTGGACCGCAGGAACCCAGCCCTGATTCGTGTGGCCAGCGTGGATGATGTGGAAGACCATCGGATTAAGGTGGCTACAACACCCTAGGGTTGGGAGAGTGGAAAGGTCCTTAGGGCAAGAATTCAGTAGACTGGCTCCAGGTCAAGGGTATGGCACAAGATAGGAAGCTGAAGGTTTCGGATCTCATCATGACCTCATCTGTGTGTGACTTACTTTGGGAGACTTGAAAGTTACTTCTCTCTTAGTCTTCATCTGTGAAACAGGCCTACTAATCCTTGTCCTGCCGAAGGACTCATGGGAGATGTCAGTAGCTTAATGCAGGAAGCCCATGGGGAACACTGGACAAGACTAATTATTGTAGGGTTGGCTCCTTCCCTCTGACAGCCCCAAAGATGGGAGGCCCTGCTGGAGCCTCGAGGACCTCTTGGCTGAGCTGGGCTCTAGAGGAATGCCTGACTGCCGAGGGCCTTTCCTCCCCAGCTCCACTTTGATGGCTGGAGTCACAGCTATGACTTCTGGATCGACGCCGATCACCCAGACATCCACCCTGCAGGCTGGTGCTCCAAGACAGGACATCCCCTGGAGCCTCCTCTCCGTGTGTACCCCTATGCCACCCTGCCCCTTTCCCTTCCCATCAACCTCTGAAATCCCTCCCTTCCTATAGTTTGGCAAGAACTCTTGCCCCTGTGCCCAGGTCTAACACAGAGGGCTCCGGGGCCCACAGCAAGTTCTAGGATCCTTTTCCTCCCCTCCTAGGGCTGCCTGCTACACTAAGCAGGGCTTCTGGCCCCCAACTTGAGGGCATGGCCTCCAGGTTTCAGGAAAGTCTATGAGAACCAAGCCTTCCTTTGGCAGCATCGGCAAGATGTCCAGTAGCAGGAATGGTGGCACAACCTGGCCAGAGGGCCCTGTCCTCAGAGAACTAGTTCCTAGCATTGACTCCCATATAGAAACTATTCCTTGCCCTCCATCCTCCAAGCCTAGGGCTGTGTCTTGACTCCTCTTCCTGCTCCTCCAGGGCCCAGAGAACCCAGCTCTGCCTCCCCTGGGGGGTGCCCCCCTCTCAGCTATAGAAGCCTGCCTCACTCCAGGACCTCCAAGTACAGCTTTCACCACCGGTGAGTGATGGCGTCCTACCAGGAGGCCCATCAGGACTCACTGAGGCCTTCAATAGGGCCACACCTGGGAGGGCTGAGTGGGGCCAAGCAGATAGCCCATTTCAAGCCTTCTTCCTTCCCAGGAAGTGCCCCACTCCTGGCTGTGATGGCTCTGGCCATGTCACAGGCAAGTTCACAGCTCACCATTGCCTCTCTGGCTGCCCACTGGCCGAGAGGAACCAGAGCCGCCTGAAAGCGGAGCTGTCTGACACGGAGGCTTCAGCCAAGAAAAAGAACCCCCCTAACCTGTCACCGAGAAAGAAGCCTCGCCATCACGGCCGGTGCGAGGGCCAGGGGGTGTCAGGACCTGGGCTTCCTGGGTGCCGGGCCTCCCATCCTGATGCCCTGCCATGGACCTGGTCCCTCTCTCTCCAGGATTGGACGCCCTCCAAAGTATCGGAAGAGTCCACAGGAAGATTACCAGAGTAAGCCTTCATCCTCTGCTCCTATGTCCTCCACCGAGTGTTCACAGTGAGGGTCAGCAGATGAGACACCGGGGTGCCCAGAGTGGGAGAAAGTGGCAGGGAAGCTGCCTCTGAGATTCCTTGGAAACCTAGAGCAGGACCAAGAGCATGGACTGGGACCTCATTTCCTCAACTTGAAAACATGAGCAAAACCTACCTTTCAAGTCAGTACCTAAAACAAAAATTACTTCTCCTGTTTCTGAACACCTGCCTTGGGCCCAGCACTGTGCTGAGTGCGTTAGTCCCAGCAGCATCCTATAATATGTCTGAGAGAGGAGGAATGCAAGGCTTAGAGGAGAAATCATTTGCCCAAGGTCATTCACCTTGTGAGGGGCTGAACCAGGATTCACTTGGACCTGACTTCTGCCCCATGCCACTGGTATAACAGACAAGCACTCAACCCAAAAGTCGGTTCATGTCTCCATCCCCTTTGGCCTAGTTCTCATGGGCCATCATGACAAAATACCACTGCCTGGGTGGCTTAAGCAACAGATGTTTCTTGCTCGCCACTCTGGAGGCTGGAAGTCAGGGTGTCAAGAGGAATGGTTTCTTTGAGGTCTCTCCCTGGCTTGTGGATGGCTGCCTTCCTGCTGTCTCCTGGCATGGTCTCATTTCTGTGTGCAAGCATCCCAGGTGTCTTGTGGGATGGTTGAATCTGCTGAGCCTCAGTGTCCTCATTTGTCACACATGCTCACAGCAATAGTGCCTGCTGTAGGGTGGGGCAGGAAGTCCAAATGAGGGGATCCCATACAGTACTTGGCATAGGCACCATGATTGTCATTATCAATCTGTACCTCTGGCCCGACTCCTCCTCACTGCCATTTCATACTGTTTCCTGTTGGTGGAAACAGAAAACACTTCCTTGCAGCCTCAGGCCTAAGTAAGGAGGTCCTGGCCAGCTTCTAGGCCTCAGATGAAAATTTTCAGGAATGGAACTCTAGTTGAAACCTCCTCTGCCCATCATGGTGCCCCACTTCCTTGTAGGACCAAGTAGTGCCTCCAAAGCGTACCTCCCAACTGACTAGAATTCTTGGGAAGTGGGTCTTTTCTACCATTGAGGCTGTTCCCCAGGGAAGGGAGGAAGAACTCATCCAAGGCCATGAGGCCCTTTAGGGACAGAGTGCAGGTCTGTGCCCTCTGTGTGGGGCTCCTCTGCTCTATCAGCAGGCTTTTGCCCATTGGTCACTCTAACCCTCTGGAGAAGAGTTCTCTCACACTGTGGAAGGCCTCCTCAATGTGGGTTCTGGGTTTGCTGCTGACTTGTTCTTTAAGGAGATTTACCTGGGAAAGACAGGGCTTGACTGGGCTTCCTGTAGAGGCTCCAGAAGTTCAGATGTTGAAAGAACCAGTGGAACCACTTCTCACTTGTAGTGTGGCAGTAGTTAGGTAAGAAGCTGTGGTTGCCTGTCAGAGCCTGGCTGGGTTCTAGGAAGACAGATAAGAAAAGAACCCAGGCCTGGGAGATATTTCAGTAGAATAAGTGCTTGCCTGGAAAGCACATCAGCCTGAGTTCAATCCCTGATTCCGCCAAAAAGGAAGAAAAAATCCTGCCAACAGACTTGGTGTTATCCCCCAAGCCTATGCTAGTCTGTGAGGAGAACCACACTCAAGGCTTCAAAGAGGAAGCTCCTGGGTGGATGAGAGGCCAAAGTGTGGCTAGGTGTGGGTAGGTCTTGGGGAACCCCAAGCATGCCCCTGTAGGTCCTGAGAGAAGATCACTGATGGCACAGGGGAAGCAGCTCCTTAGAGACACTAAGGAGGGCTATTCAGGTAGGCAGATATTCAGGTTGGGGCTGGTGAGCAGAGGCAGCAGGAACAGAGCCCTAACTTCCAGGCCCTCAGTTTTCATGGGTGACGTCCAAATGGGCAAGTCCTCATCTGACCATGCCGAGCAGCATCAGTCATGAGATCCATACAGCCAGTGTAAGGCTGGTGGTCAGGAGCCAGGGCTTTGCAAGGGAGAAGGAAGTGACAGGCAGTGTGGGCTTAAGGAGCAGGCCCATTCACCCTGCAGTGCCAGAGCAGACAGGCCCCAGGGTCCCCCTGGCTCGAGGGGCAGTGAGCTGGTCAGGCCAAGGGCTCTTAGGAAAGAACAAATAGAACACATCTCTGACATCAGAGCTGAGCTTACTGAGTGTTAGGGACCACTTGGATGCAGGCATGTAGAGAATGGTGTCTCACAGGGGTCTAGTTCAGTGGCACAAGTGCTTGCCTGGCGAGCTGAAGGTCCTGCGTTCAATTCCTGGTACCAAAAAAGAGAGAAGGAGGGAGGGAGGGAGGGAGGGAGAGAGGGAGAGAGGAAGGAAGGAGGGAGGAGGGAGGGAGAGAGGTATCTCTTGAGATGCAGCAGCACCTCTAAGAAAACATCTTTGCAGGCCCTGAGGTGCTGCGACCTTAGAGAAAAGGGCTGAGTATCACTCCACACAGCTGGTCCTAGCAGAAGTAGGGAGCTCTGGGCAAGGAGTCAGGGCATGTGGTCACCCTGGTGGCTCTGCAGGCTATTGGAAGAGGCCACTGGTCTTGTCCTCTCTGCCACCCATCCTCCATGTGGTGCGGGTGTGAGCCGGCTCTGGGGATCGGCCTGTCTGCAGCATCGGTGCTTGGCCTCTGCCTCTGCTTTCCAGCACTTGCTCCTGATGTCATGCAGCAGTCCTTCTTCATGTCAGCCTTGTCCACCCACCCGGACCGCTCACTGTCAATATGCTGGGAGCAGCACTGCAAACTTCTGCCGGGAGTAGCCGGGATCTCAGCTTCTGCAGTCTCCAAGTGGACCATTGAGGAGGTGAGGAGCTTTTCACAGCCACCTCCTCTTCCTCCTCCTTGCTCCTCCCTTTAGCCACAGCCTGGTGGTGGTAGGGTACTCTGGAAAGGCCCTAGGCAGGTGGAACCTGTTCTCTTGACTGTTGCTCCTGTCCACTGTCCCTTCCAGCTGCCCAGCAAGGCTGACAGACACTGGGCGTATGGGGCAGGGGGAGGCATGTTTCCCAGTGAGCTGAAAATGCAGCAAGGAGCTAGGCACTAGCCCTGGGCCTCAGGAGCAAGGGGCCTCCCCTCACGCACCTGCCAGTCCAGGGATGTGAGGATGCTCCCAGGCGGATGAGAAAGGCAGCACTGGCACAGCTAGGACACACCGGGCCATAGCAGCCAGCCCTTCCCCCACATTCCCAGCCCCAGCACTGGGTCAGCATATCTTCTTTGGTTTCCAAGGTCTTTGGCTTCGTTCAGACCCTGACAGGTTGTGAGGACCAAGCACGCCTCTTCAAAGATGAGGTAAGGTGCAAGAACAGAAGGGCCCACAGTGACAAGGTCTCTGTGTCAGGGAGACAGCAGGAAGCTGGTGCCCCACCAACACTGCCCACTCAGAAAGGGAAGGCTATCTGTTACTCCCCTGAGACTAGTCCTGGTGACCTACTTTTCTAGGAAGAATCTGGCATGGGCTGTTGCCCAGCTTGGGGACACTGTATGTTCAAATCATCTTCAGGAATAAAAGCACATCCTAGAGACAGAAATCCATTCACTCCTTTGCTTTCTGCCTAGTCTTCCAATTGCCAAATTTAGCCTCATCATTGGTAGTCAGTAAATTAAAGTGGTTTTCGTTGGTTTGATTAGACTTGATGCTGGTGATCGAACTCAGGGCTTCACACCAGCTAAGCATGCACTCTACTGTTAAGCAATATTCCCAGCACAAAGATATTTTGAATGACACAGTTACTGCTATGAACTGCAAAAATCCTGACACATACTTATAGTCAATACACAAGAGCTGTACAAGCGCCTGTGTGGCAAGCGCAATGTCCGGAGTTTGATCCCCAGTACAAAAAAAAAAAAAAGCTTAGCAAAAATAACAAACAATGAATTATTGGTAAAGTCTCAGCTTTGGCAAAAGTCTGGGTTGGATTTCCAGCTCCCAATTTGAGCTACGTATTGTCTTTGAGCCTGCATCTTGTCCTTAAAGTGGAGAGAAAGTGAGTATAATGAGCTTGAACTTGCAGGATCATTGTAAGCATTGGACAGGAGGAGGACTCACTGTACCACAATGTGTACTGCTACCGTGTGTGTAAACATATATGTGTGTGTATACATTTATATACACCACCATACTGCTGTGTATGGATATCTAACTTACAATATGTATGTATCAGTATATAGTGATATTTACATGCCACAATTAATATGTAAGTACTGAGAGCTAGACATCAGTATTGTAGGGTCATATATAAATTATATTACTATATGGGAAGTTCAGATACCGTGGAGGCTCTATACAAGTAGTTCCAACTTTTAGTACACAGTTGCCCTTCAATAAAGAATTATACTATGACTCTCCTAATTGGAGAATTTGAACTGGAAGGGATTTTTGAGTTTGTTTATTTACTTATTTTAGGTAAAACTCTTTATTTTATTTATTTTTTTTATTTTCTTTCTTTCTTTCTTTATTTGTGTGTGTGTGTGTGTGTGTGTGTGTGTGGTACCAGGGATTAAACTCAGGACCCTGTGCTTGCCAGGCAAGCATTTATTCTACTGAGCTATCTCCCTGGCCCTATTTTATTTTAAAGAGAAAAAATTTCTGAACAAGGTAATAGGAGGGTAACAATGGTTAACACATTGCATATAAGACCTTTGAGTTTAATGTGTAGGGATGTTTTTTTCTAAAGAATACAAATGTCCCTCCTATATATCCACCTCTGCCCAATACTTTGTCTGCTCTGGGTCAGATGGCCATACGAAGGAGACCCAGCCTCTTTCTCTCATTCAGGCCCAGAACAGCTGGTTTCTCTCTCTGATCCTAGGTGGTGCGCGCAAGCACGCGCACACACACACACACACACACACACACACACACACGCACGCACGCACACACGCACGCAAAATCATGTGAAGAGCTCACCTGACCAGGCCTTTCTGGAACCTTCCCACTGGGTGTGCTAAGGGACAGAAGCAGAGAAGGAGGAAGAGGAGGAGGAAATTGAGAAAGGGCTTGTCTTAAAAGTACATACAGTGTCACAAGGTTTAGGACATGACACTTGAACCCAGCCCTTCAATCAAGAAATAAAACACTTCCATGCCCCTTTTAGTCAGTCCTCACTCCGAAAGACAACTGTTCTGATTTCTATCACTGCAGAATAACTTTGCCAATTCTTGAAGTTGTATAAAAGAGATCAGATACCACATAGTCTTCTGGATCTTTCTGTTGAGTGTTTTTGAAGTCTTTCTATATTGGTTGTGCGCTCATAGTTTGTTCATTGTTGACTAGTGCCCTGTGTTATGAGTGTTCCACAGTTGTCCTGTTCATAACCACTTGGAGAGGTTTCCCTTGGCCAATCCCTAGCGCTGGGGATGCTCACTCCTCCACAGCTGGCCTCTTCCCTTCCTAACTCTACCCATATGTGTGTCCCTTAGAATTCACACCTATCACCATTTCCCAGATTTGCCTCACCTATTTTTGGACAAAGTAATTGTAAATTACAGACATGGCATGTCACCCCTGACTACTTTAGGCTGCATCTATGAAACTAAGGCCTTTTTCTGTGTAACCACAATATTGTCATCCCACTAACAGATTGACAGTAGCGCCTTGGCACCATCCCATACCAGGCTGTACTCAAATCTCCTCAGTTGCCTCAAAGCATTTTTTGCAATTTTTGGACCAGATTCAGATAAGGCCCACATAAGTGATTTCTGCTGATGTTTCCTAAAGATCATTCTAGGATAGCACCCCCCCCCCTTTTTTTAAAAATCATTTTTCATGACATTTAGAGTCTTGCAGAATGTTCCCTTCTGGACTTGTCTACTTGTCTTGTTTCCTTGTGATGTTGCCTAATATGTTCCTCAATTGCTTGTGTTTCCTGTAAACTGAAGGTCAAGTTCAAAGCCTTGGTTAGGTTTAGGTTAAATCAATCTCTCTCTCTCTCTCTCTCTCTC